ACAGTCGATGTGTCTGTATTGATGTGTTTACTCATGGTGGAATTGGCATCCATTAGAGAGAGAATTGTGTGTGTGTGTGTGTGTGTGTGTGTGTGTCAGTGAGAATACAGGCTCTAAAATGAAGGCTGCATTAATTCATATTCTGTTACACATGCACAGACACTCTTCCTTTTCGTCACACACACACATGCACGGCAGGGTGGACTGCGCAGACAGCTTGGCAATGCCGGGGAAGGTGTGTCTCCAGAGTTCCATTGTTCTAGTCAGAGAGGAATCTATGTGGAAAACCTCTTAGATAAAAAGGGGGTGGGGAATGGGGGGATAAAGGAAGAGAAAGGAAGAAAGAGTGCTTTTGTAGGAAGTGGACTAGCAGTGTCCACAAACCAGCTTCTTGGGAAGGGGGTGTGAGGTGTAGTGTTTATATATTCCTGTATCGTATCTAGGCAGATGCAATGTAGGGAGCTGTCAAGAATGTTTTTTTCTATATGATATGTACAAGGCAGTATTCTGTCATGGTTTTCCCAATGGCTTTTACAAGTCTGAGAAAGAGCTTAAAAATGGATAATGGTGTCAGGATCCTCATAAGATAGAGAGAATGTAGAAGAAGATACAAGAATGAAAAAATACTGCACATTCTTCTGCAGCTGGAATGTTACAGTAAATTATTCATCCCATCAAGAATCCATTTCTTGGAGGTCTCTCTTCATTCGTCTCTCTATCTCATTCTTTCTCAATTTTTCTATAAGGTTAAAAGTGCCATGGAACACACAGGATTTCTAGCTGCACTGGGACTAAAATCCACCAAGACACTGTCTTTCCAGTCATCTCCTCTCTCTCTCTTTCTCTTACTCTCTCTGTCTTTTTGTACCTCTCTTTTGGGAGTCCACTAGTCTCTTAAACGATAAAGAAAAAGGCTAAAAATGTGTTGCTCTCATGAATTGAAACTGCTAATACATGATTTTTCTTGTTTATTTTGTAAGACCAGAATGAACACTTATTATTTTAGTTTACTAGCATTCTGTTTTAAGTTTCATTCAGTGCTTTACTTTAATAGTAGGAGTCCCTTGGAGGCCACACATCTAAAAAATGCCCAGGCTCTGTCTTTTATATAATGTGATTTGCAAGTTTACAAACATCTTCATTCTGAATGTGAATGAGGCGCTTTTGATTGGCGGCTCTTTAGTCTTAATCCGCTAAGAGGGCTCTCCATAGGGCTAGAATTGGGGAGGATGGGGTAAGAGAGAAGGCGTTCAGGGTGCTGACCCACGCACTAATGGAAACGGTCTGCTGAATGATCCCACTTTTGGCACCATTGGACAACAGCTGGGCCCTTGGAAGGCTCAGACCCAAAAAAGCCCATTTTGGAAACAGGCATTCATAGTGGTATTGTTTGAAAGATAGAGCCTTGAGATCCCTACAGACCATTTGTGGGCAGTAACAGAGCAGTCAGCTTGTGGTAACAATCAATTTGTTGCCAAAAAACTAAATAAATACTTGAGAAACGTGAATGAATGTCCAGATTTGGACTCTTAGTAAATGTTGTCGCATAACATTAAACAATTCTGGTTAGCAATCTTCTGTGTGTTTTTTTTTTTTTTTGAAGGTCACCATTCTGTTTTCCTTGAAGCAACTTGCTGTGATAACAAGGCTGTGTCTCTCTGTGTCTCCACAGCTGCCAGGATCTCTGAAGAGGAAATTGACTGGTGCTGTCGAGAGCTCTGCATCACTAAACAGGGTCTCTGACACGTCTATGACCCAGGGAGGTGGCAAACGACTATGTCTGGAAGATGTCACCCTGGCCATGGGCCCCAGCTACCCTCAGCCCCCATTCCCTTCTGGAATGGGCATCCAGGGGGGTGTTCTGGACGCTAATCGACTGAACAGCAACAACAATAATTTGGGCTCTCCATATTCCGTACCCCCAAATGCTAGTCCTGGATCAACACCAGGCACCGGGGGAGGCTCAGGGGGCTTGACAAGTAACTTCAACCCAAATGGGAGTTCAGCCACTCCTTCAGTGGAACAAGAGCTGCAGGAGCTTTTGGATGAACTTACAAAGAACCCCGATCCTTCTTTACCAGAGCTTGACATTGAGAAGATCTTAGGAAAAGAAAGTGATGACCAGGCAAGTACAGCTGGAGGTTTTGTCCACCCAGAAGGTAATGGCACCCCCAAAAGGTCTCCACAGAGACAGTCACACCTGGAGGCCCACCTCACTCAGTCCCCTGGTTTCTCTCAAGCTGGGTCTCCTCAAGTTGGTCCAAGTCCTGCTGGGGCACCATATACCCTACCACATCCTTCCAAACCAGTTCCGTCTCCACTCTCAGCATCACCCCTGTCCTCCTCCTCTTCACAAGGGCAAAATCAAGCACGATCACCCATGCTTTCTGCCGCCTTATCAAGCCGGGCTGGATCCAACTGGCATGAGGTGTCCCGGGCCCAACAGCTTCAGCAGATGGCATCGAATAGTAAGCATCATTCCAACAACAGTGCAGGTCCCCCATCTGCACAGTCGGGGTTGTCTGGATTGGGCCAACAGAGTACTTCTTGGGCTGGTCCCTCTCCACCTTACCGACCAGGGGATAAACTGCCTAACTCATCACCTCATCAGCAGCCCTTCAGCCCAGCAGGAAATATTCAGAGCCCCCAGAGTTCTCTAATCTCTAGCATGGCTCCAGCCCCATCCACCGGACCATCACCACCCTACAGGCCAGAAAAGCTAGCCAGCCCAGCAATTGCTCAGCCCCCTTTCAGCCCCCAGAACAGCATTCTGTCTGGAAATGCCCCACCAGGAGTTTCCTGCACTTCAATCCAAGGTTCTCAGGCAAGTTATCTTCCTGGTGTTGCCCCAACATCAAACAACACTCGACCATCACCTCCTTACCGACCAGATAAACACCCCAGTCCAGCTGGGCAATGCCAACCAGGAACGCAACCTCCCACACAAGGACATCTTTTCAACTCGCAAAATAATCAAGCACCTGCAATGTCTAGTCAGCTGTTCAAGGCCATCACATCCAACCAGCCACCCAGTAGCCTCAATCTCCTAATGCAGGCACAGGGAAAACCCTCACAGCTGCAACTAAACAAGACCACCACAGCTGGTATGGGTCCAGAACCATACTCTTTCAACAACACCAAGCCGTTACGTCATTTTGACCCCAATCCCTCTGTGACCAAACTGGGTCCTCTGACTGTGGGAGCATACCGCAATGCTAGCATGCAGCCCACGACGCCCACATCAGCCACAGGACATGGACATCTTTTGCCACAGCGTGTGCAAAGGGGGATGCCTGCTGGTGGTATCGTGCCTCACTGCAGAGATGTGAGTACCATTGCTTGCTTGTTAAACTTATGTGTGGAATGTCATATATTACAAAACATATTTTCACAAATGATATAAAGCCAGACAGTTAGTATAAAAATCAACTTTTGATGTGACCTTTAGGAAATTCATTACCTTCAGGAATAGTGCTTTCTTTATGTCTAACTTGATGTGTTTTATAAATGTAGAAAATAGAGTTGAATACAGAACAGTCTCTGTCAGTTTGTACAAGTTTTACTATAGTGTATAGGTGAGGCGAGTACATTTTACTTTCTTTTACCCCAGGTTAATGTGCAGAGACAAATTAAATTAAGCCAGTCTTTGGCTGACTTTCCAAAGAGTGTAAACTTTGTTGTTCTTAGATGGTCTGGCCAAACAGCGGAAGATGGGAGCGGGGTGGATGTAGACAATTTTATTTTTGTGATTCTATTTGGTGTCAGTAGTGGCACGAAACTGACACTTTACTTTTAAGTGCAAGCAATAGATGACCTCTATAGTTGTTATTTCCTAAGACTGTGATGCATCTGTGTTGTCTTCAAAATTCTTGATTTATAGAGTCGACAAATGATTTAGCGCATTGAAAAAGTGTAAAAAGAATTACGTTTTATGCAGGACTTCTAGAAGTAAGCAATTAAAAATCCAAAGATATAAGAAGAGGGAATTACAGCCCTGGTTTTTCCATTAGCTTGTGGAGCTTTGGGTGTGCTCACTTCATACTGGGGGAGACTGTTTCTGAAAGATGGAGTGGGCACCCTGTGGTGTGTACCATGGGAAGGGAGGGGAGTGGGTGTTCCAACTCTGATGTGTGTATAAGGGGGGCAGTTAGGAAGCTCCAAAGGTTAATTGAATGGACAGCTGAACAGAGAGTGAAGGAATGTGAGTCTTTGTATGTGATTAGCATTCATGCTAAAAGGCTGAACATGCTCAGTCCATCTCTGTTAATTAGGATAGGGCCAAAATTACTGTTCTTTCAGTTGTTTTGTTACTGTGTCATATCTAAAAATATTATTTCTTGAATGAAAAAAACGAGAAGATCTAGAGTTTTATTAATTTTTTTGCTCTGAAGTGAGAATATGTGTTTGTTTATGCAGTAAAGAGCAAAGGCGTGTGTGTGTGTGTGTGTATGCCTATAGAGTTTCAAAGTGCCGCTGTGCATTCTGTCTCCTGCGGGGCGGTCTGTTTGAAGACAGAATCCCTCTCTTTCAGCCCAGTAGTCCTCTTTCATCACACCAATAAAAGATAATGAATTTTAGAGGAGACTGAGATTGAGGAAGAAAGAGAAAAGGGGGCCGGTTTCTTTAGTGTCTTGACATGCATGGTTGCAAACTAAAGAGGGACTCAAAACTTCTATCCCCCCAAAACTGACTCTCTCTCTCTCTCTCTCTCTCTCTCTCT